TACTTTCCCCTTTTCATTTGGTTCTTTTCTATCTAAGGAAAGAGAAATAAAAAGTGTGGATTTTGTTGGGAGGGTAGGTTAGAAGGATCTGGAAGGAGTAGAGGAAGAAAAAGGATAAACAAAATATTACACAACAAATAATTTTTAAAACTGAAGTAATATGTATTCTATGACATGCTTAAAATTCAACATCATCATCGTCATCACCAGTGTCATCATCAGCATAATATTTTCAATCATTTACTAAAAGACAAAATAAAAACACTACTGTTCAAAAAATAAAAAGTAGCAAAAATAATGATTGCTAATGCCATTCTGTTATACTCCTGGGTCACTTTCATGTTCAGCCATTATCAAAGAAGCATCCCTCTGTATCAGATGGAATGAAAAAATTCCATTTTTGATGTAAGAGAATTTGAGTTAGGAATTTATATAAAGCTGTGCCTAAAGTTTTACATCACCAAGAATATAAGGCAAAGATGTGCCAAGGACACCACAAGAAAACTCAATGAATAACTAACCTGGACTCACAGACACTCACATGATGGAACCACCAACCACAGAGCCTGCATAGAATTGATGTAGGCACATATGTTATACTTGCATAGCTTTGTCTTTTTATGGTACTCCTAACATCATAGCAGTGGCTCTGATTCTGTTGTCTGCTTTTTGGACCTTTACTCTAACTGGGTTACCTTGTCTAGACTTAACAGGAGAGGACATGCCTAGTCTGAAAGCAACTTGATATGACATGGCTGCTTGATATTCATGGAAGAATTGCCCTTTACTGAGCACTAGATTGAGTGTGGGGACTGGAAGGAGAAGAGTGAGGGAAGTCTGTGGTTGAGATATAAACAAGCAAACAAATGCATAATAACATGCTAAGAAGAGTATTAAAATGTTCTATTTATAATGGAAAAGAAGTAATGTTTCAATTACATGACATATCTTTAATGTTCATTTTTCATAAATAATTTCTTCTATTAATTTATCATAGACATGCTATTACTGAGGCAAACTTATGCTATAACAATTGTTATTTGGTGTAATACAAGGTTAAGTATGTGTGGCACACCCAGAGTATAAGAATTATCTCTTAAACTTCATACAATTCCTCATTTTCTGTGAGAAAGTTCAACCTATAGCTTCATAAAGTTACTCAATGAGAATTACAAATGTCCTATAAGTGCACATGCTTCCTCTCTAGACTTACATGCATAAGCACTAGTTCTAGATTGAAAGGATTGTTAATAGTTGATGTAATCTGTTTTAACTTTAGACAAAATAGGAAGGTTTGTTGACACACTTATATTTAATTTCAAGCCATGAGATGTGATTAAATGCTAAGAATACAATGTGAAATATTCATATATATATATATATTCTAAATTTACTTACTTAAATTTTTAATAAACATTTTAAATATATTTGTTGAATTAAAATGGAATACATAGTTATATTTTTTTCTGTGCAAGTGCTTTTTAGGTATTTCTGTGGCATGTGCCTGTTATGGTACACATGTAGAGGGCAAAGTACGCCAAGTATAATTGATTCTCTTCTTCCTGCATGTGAGTCCTGAGAATCAAACTCAGATGATTATTTTTGCTATCAAGTTTCTGCAACCACAGAGCTATCTTGCTAGCCCTCTAAATTCCTTCTTGATGGCTGATTTCTAAGTGGTATAAAGACACAGTTCAATATCATTTCGTAAGTTATGATTAAAGATATATTTAAATCAAAATATGTTTTATAGATGTAGAATATTGGTCTAAATCACTCAAAACATATTTTAAGTTGATGTAATGGATAAAATATTCTGAAAAACATCTACCTTACTTAGCCTTCAAATGAGTTAGACTACTGTTCTTATTTTGTGCTTACTTTTAAGTATGTTTTTTATCTCAAATGAAAGTATTCTCTAATCTTATAATTACAAATTATGGAGACATTGATCCCTTGTAATTACTTCTGAGAATTGAGTGTGAAGTGGCCACTAAATTATTCAGTGAATAAAATACATCTTTCTAAAGAAGAAGATAATGTCCACTTTTTATTTTTCTTCATTAAATACTGGCAAAGATTCTTTTGAGGTAAAAGAGAAGGAAGTTTTCCTTGAAATGCAGAATCACACTAAATTTACCAGTGACACCATTTAGATAAGTCAAAAGATATTCTAAAGTTGCCACTGAAATGGTCTAGGTTCCCTGTAACAGGGAAAAAGATATATTTTGAAAGTTTCAATAGAAAAAAAGTGTATTTCTTTCCTTTCATAAATTCTCAGCTCGATTGTCACAACTCACATAAAACATAACTCTTTACTCATTGCTATATACAGTATAACTGAAATATTATATCAACAAAAGGAAAGATTCCATTCATCAAAGAGGCCTGAGAGTCCACCAAATAACATGGGCTCTTACCATTGTTCTTAGTTATTCACAGAATGAGATAAGATCCTTATTGCTTAAGGCAGAACATAGCTTGATTTCATGAAATAGAAAGTTCAGGCTGGAACATATCTAGCAGTCTCCTGTCTAGCTGCAAGCTTTTATAGTACCAAAATATGCTACAAATGATGATGGGAATGAAATGTTATCAATGGTTTTAACCAGCATTGAACTCCATGAACAAGATTCATATTTGAGGCAAGATATAGCTATATTAGTAGCATGAAATTGGAAAAAACTACACCTGGACAGGCAAGGTATATTATTGGTCTTCTATAAAAACAGCAAGTGTTCTAAAGTACTGAGCCACTACTCCAACACCTTAACTTGAAATTTTAAAATTATTTTTTCTTATAAAATACAAAATTGTTACATAAAATGTATAGGTTCAGATAAGTATAAAGATGGAGATATCATCAATTACTAAATCTATTCTAAGTCACATTTCTTAACTAGTAAAGTGAGTACTTTAGACTCATACATATCTGTGAGGAAACCCTGTTGCTAAAGTAGAAAAAGCCTGATGTTACCAGATAGCTCCCAGTCCCGAGCTCCAAGCTGGGCTTCCTTTTCTCTGGGGTATCCCAGACCTACTGAACATCAACTGCCTGAGGAATGTCACACAGTCCTGCACCTGAGATGCCTGGATGCCTCCCCATGCTAACGATGTATGTCAGTAGCCTTATCCTTCAGCCAATGACATTTGACCACCCTGGATATTCTAATCCATCTCCCCAAACTATATAACCCTTGGTTCACCCTGAATAAAGGGTATGGATATAAGCCCACCTAAATAAAGTTATGCATGCAAGCTAAGACTGTCTCAGAGAAATATTTCAATAAGGATCATCAGAGAAGACCTTTGCCTAAAATAGTTGTAACACCAACTGTTAGTGAAGCATCACCCTTTACCCACCCACTAATGCTCATTCATTTCCAGCCAGACAGAGATCCTGCCCTTTCCAGACTCTGCTTCATCCTTCTAGCCTAGTGTATAGCAACATCTGGACACCCTAAGAGGGAGAAAGCAGAACATGGAAACACACATACCAGTCAGTTTTCCTCCTTTATTGTTCTCTCACCACCACCACCCCCATTTGTTTGAATGACAGATGGAGACCAGGCTAGTCTCAAACTCAAAGATCCACCTGCATCTGCCTCCTGAGTTCTGGGATTAAATTAGATGTCACTATGCTTGGCCTCATTTTTCTTACTAGGTCATCTAACAGTTTTCATGGAAATATTTTTAGGTTTGAGAGTTAGCAAAACCTTTTAAGATTGGATAAGAAAAGTCCAATTTATTTCCAGAACAAGGTGCTCCCTGTGACATAAACACAATGATCATTCTTTATAAACAGAAATAGAAAATGAAGCAACAGCCAGCATTCCTAACTATACATTGTAGCATGATATTTTCCTGCTACATTGTATTTGCAGTGGAGCTGGGTGATTCGGCATTAGAAGAGGTAGGCAGAGTGAGGAATTGAGAGGAAAAAGAAGGGGAGGAGGAGAGAGGAAGCAACATGGAAGAAGAACCATGGATCTCTAGCAGTCCCGGGTAACAATTTCTATCAAAATGTTAGATATTGGGTAATAATTCTAATTGGTTTAGCATCTTGTGTATTAAGTATTTGTTGATACATAAATCCATTGGATGATCTTTAAGCATTAAGAGTATTCATTCTACCGGGAACTGCAAGCATGGCGGGTATTGTCTGGGGCTTAGCAGAGAACCATGAGGGTGATGAGGTTGACCCTAGATCCATGCTTTGGGACATGGTCACTATGGAGCCAACTAGCAGAGACAATAGCCATGTTAACGTCTCATGGGTGCCAGGGCTGGCACTTCTAGCTAGCCAGAGCTGCGGTCAAAGCTGGAACAGTGGGAACACGGTGGCTGCCAGGAAACAAGCTGGACCAAGCACCAATTTTTAAGACTTTCTGATTTCATTACATTATGCTAGATCCTTATCTAGCATTTAGTTTGAACTGCTTTAATTATAGAAACCCATCTAATGGATAAATGTTAATAAAGTTGAATTTAAATGAACATAAATAAAAATTCTGTAACTGTTTAGCCTATTATATTTAATTAGATTCCAGAGTACAGGCAGTAACTGTAAAGTTTCGGTTTAAAAAATTAATCATAGAAGATTATAAGTCAATTATGTTCAGGATAGATACATGCAGACATTAGCCACTTTTGACAACAGATTGGAAATTTTACATATATCCTAAGACAAGGAAGCTCAAATTCTCTTTGTCAGTGTTTTAGATTAGATGTGGATCTTTATATAGGTATGCTTCTTGATTAGGAGTTCACAGACTCATTCCCCAATTTAAGACATATCCCACTTATGTAAAACGAGCACCAATAACTTTTTCATAAAGATATCAATTATACTCCCTCCCTCCCTCCCTCCCTCCCTCCCTCTCTCTCTCTCTCTCTCTCTCTCTCTCTCTCTCTCTGTCTTTATAACTTCCCAAGCACCTAACTCAAACAGCATAAGGAATTGATTTATGCTATCACCAAACAAGAGCATTTGGACTAACCTTATATAATAGTGGTAATTTTCCTAATTTCAGGAGTGCAATTTGATTGGTAATATTTTTCAACTTTGTAATCCGTTTTAAATCATCCATGGTTCCATAACTCACATCGATGACGTCAGCCTGAAAAGGGAGAAAATGTAAAGAAAGATAAAGCCTTAGAGTAAATGGCTGTCACACAATTGTTTGTAGTGACTCAAATCTTCCAATGCAAATTAATTTTATCTCTCATTCTGTCCTAATTTTTAGTTTCTAATTTGACAGTGATATAATGATGCCTCTGACCACAAGGATAAATCTTAGTTATTGCTAGTCTTAGTCAGGGCTTTTATTCCTGCACACACACAAAAAAAAATCATGACCAAGAAGAAAGGTAGGGAAGAAAGGGTTTATTCAGCTTACACTTCCACATTGCCATTTATCACAGAGGGTAAACAGTACTTGTACTTACACAGGGTAGAAACCTGAAGGCAGGAATGGATGCAGAACCCATGGAAGAATGCTGCTTACTGCCTTGCTTCAGCTGGCTTGTTCAGCTTGCTTTCTTATAGAACCCAAGACTACCAGCCCAAGGATGGCACCACCCACAATGGGGTAGGCCCTCCATGTTTGATTACTAATTGATAAAACACCTTACAGCTAGGTCTCATGAAGGCATTTACTCAACTTAGGGTCCTTTTCTCTGTGATAACTCCTGCTTGCATCAAGTTGATACACAAAAGCAGCCAGTACAACTGACACTTTGTCAACTTTACACACAAACACATCACCATTAAGCTTCAACCCTTACTTTCTTTTTCATCCCCAAGATCTAAATAACTTTAAAACTCTCTCCGTCTTTACAAATTCTTACATATTAGAAATTCAATTCCCTTAAACTATCCAATCTCTTTTGAAATTCAAAGTCTTTTTACAATTCAAAAATCTCTTAACTGTGGGTTCTACTAAAATACTTTCTTACTTCAAGAGGGAAAAATATCAGGGCACAGTCACAATCAAAAGCAAAATCTAAGTCTATCTGTACAACGTCTGGGATCCACTCAGGAGCTTCTGGGCTCCTCCAAGGGCTTGGGTCACTTCTCCAGCCCGGCCCTTCGTAGCACACACCTTGTCTCCTAGGTTCCAGCTGCCTATACTCCATTGCTGTTGCTGTTCTTGGTGGTCATCTCATGGTACTTGCAACTCCAATACATTGGCTATCTTCCACTGCAACTAGGATTCACCAATAATCTCTCATAAGCTCTCTTCATGGTGACAAGCCTCAACTCCTTTACATGACCCTTTCGGTCCTGAGCCATCAACTGCAACTGAGGCTGCACCTTCACCAGTGGCCTTCCATGGCCTCTCACAGTGCTAAGCCTCAACTGCACTTCACCTCAATGATGCTGGTCTTTTCTTAATAACCACTAATTTCTTAGTCCCAGCTAACTAGAATCAATAGTCCCAGTAATGCGAAAGTTTTGCTGTAGTAGTTTTGGTATCTTGTTAATCGCAGGTGATTCTCTAGTACTAGCTAACTAAAACCACAGAATCTTCACAACCAAAAACATCAATGGCTCTAATACACTTGAAAATATAACTTACCTTCTAAGATATTGCATAATTAATTAAATTCAAGCCACAGGAACTAACAATGTATGTTGAATAATTGGAGAAATATAGTGTTGAAAGGGAAATTTTCTAGTCATAGAAATTTAAACTATGCACACAGGCATGCACATACAGGGAATGTAATTGTTAAAACAGTTCTGTTAAATAATTTTTCACTATAATTTTCTTCTTAGTAAAATATTACTAAATTGATTCCTTGATATAATTTTTGAGTTTATAGATACTATTAATAAATATTGATCTATAATCATATGAATAAATGTTGATCTATAATCACAAGAGCCTGATTAAATAAATGATAACATAATATTAATGACTACATTGCAAAAAGTAATTTCATATTTTTTATTTCAAGTTAGTAAGCTATACATTATTTATTTGAGATTCAACGGCAGCATTGAAGATAGACTACTATTCTATTGGTCATATTAATGAATGCATTTGTCATATTTAGAAATGATTGTGGAAAAAGTATGTAGTTTTGGGTGGATAAAACCCAAAGTGGCTTTCATATATATATGAAATATGTCATATATATATGACAATTACAACAATGTCAATCATGAAAAATGTTACATTATTGAATAATCTATGGAAAATTCAATCAGTTCTTCACTTCCTATTAAATATAAGTCATCAGATTGAAGATGCTGGTATATAAGAGATTTAATTTCACAGCAATTTCTCAGCACAGACAAAATTGTACAAATCAGCATTAGCTAGTGTGTATTGAGGCTATATTCTAAATACCAATAAGTTCAGTCATTTCAATTTTTTTGATGATTTGGTAGGTAGAAAATACATATATTGGCTTTTGAAGATTTCTTTGAGCATGTTCTTTCTGAAAGTCATTCCTACATAACTAGAAGAAAAATGAAAACCATAACTAACAAAATTATTGAATTTTTCTGATGTTCAAATCAATATATAATGAGATGCTAAAATGCCAAACCATTCTTTCCACCTGTGTTTATTGCCACAATGACTCTATTTTGACTGTATTTCTATTATCATGCTAGAAAATCATCCACTAGACCACCAGGAACACAGTATTCAATTTATGTCCTAAACTGGAGATGAAGTCAAATCTTATATTTAAGTTTGATTGAGTAACAAATGACTTAAAACAACAACAACCAAAAGGCAACACTTATCTTAGCCCATGGATGACCACTCTGTATTCATAAATTAAAAAATCTCAGTCCTTGGGCCTTCAAGTTATTTTATTTTCTATTCATAATTTTGAAGACATTTCCTTTCACAATTATTAATATTTGTCATGCTAAACAGGTTTGAAGATTATGTTAACACAGCATGATTAATATAGTCATTTTGAATTTTCAAATTCTTGAAATGCAGTTTTGATATATTTCTAACTTTTTAATTTAAGTGTGCCTACATTCTGCCAAATAACAATAATTTTAATGATAGTTTAATATTTTCCAAGTATCAGGCAGTTTATATGTTTTTAGTATTGTAACTGTCAATTTTGCCTGTGACATTAACAAGGTCAATAAGAAGTAGGAGACTCAGTCATTCCTAATTTGTGCAGCTGATAAGGTAGAGTCTTCTGCAGCCTGTGGAGCAGGTGATAATAAATACGTCAATAACAAGATATCTTATGCACAGTCAATGTGTGGTTGAGAACAAGCTTCTTCATATAATTTTATTGTATGGATTGTCACCTGAGCAAAAATTAAAACTTTATAGAAGGAAATCAAAACCCATTTCTAAAATGTCTAGGTCTGTGAACAAATCCCCTGGGTCAAAAGCAGAATATATCAGAACTAAAATATTAATTGTGTTGTTTTTTTTTTGTCTGCGTCAGCCTAGTTTCAAAGAAGATACAAAAGTGTTTTCACAGAAATAAACTAAAAGCCATATTTTCTGTATACAAAATTAATTACATGTGGTAAGACCTCCTGACCAGTGTTTCTATTCCTATGATGGTAATATTGTTGCTATTTTTATTTTATTAAAACATAAATGTCATTTTATTCCCTGATGCTAAACATACACATGCTAAATTATTTATACATCCATTTTAATGTGTATTTCACATCCGACAAGGCAACTCTCCTTAGGACCCTTTGACTGACCCACCTGTCATTATTATGGGGTAACAATGTCACCTTTCTAGTGCACGATGAATTACAAAGGATTTGCAAAGCACACCATCCATCATGCTGGCACTAAGTGGGTTTTCAGAGTAGATAGGAGATACCACTAGTGCTCTTTAGATGGTTACCAGAAAGCACAAATTGGAAGCTTATACAAAACAGTCCTATGATGAATGGATATGACAGCTCTTCAAAGTAAAGGGGAACTCCTCTGCAAATAACCTTGTCAAAAGCAAAAGATGTGGGGAGCATTGCTGGCAGTCAAAATAGAATAATTTAAAAACTTGTTAATGGCTCTGCCTCATAAAAATTCATGAACATATAATGTATTGAAAAATCAGAAAGACGTTATGTCTGAATCAGCAGCAGCATCAACTGAAGATACATATGAATTGGTCAGACACACACAAAAATCACCATTTCCCTACTAGTTATTCTATGTGAGTTTCAGAGTAATAGCTATCTTCTAGCACATAGATGTAAAGTGTATGTACATGTTCTGTGTAACATACAGTGGTCAGGTTTAGTTTTAGTTTTAGTCTTAAAAATCCTAATCACAACATTTGAGTTTTAAAAATATCAAGTCATAGGTACATACTTTCTTCATATATCTTACACACTGTGCACAACATATTTATATTTAGTATTAAAATACCTATTTTCAATGACTTCAACTAAGTCACAAGATTAATTTTTTTTTAAATAAAGGTCTTGAAAGGTTTTAAGGTCTAGAAACAAAGGTTTCTTATATATATATATATATATGAACACACACACACACACACACACACACACACACATATATATATATATATATATATATATATATATATATGTTTATATCACGTCTGCAACTGCATTTAACCTTTCAACAATCCCTTCAGTTGAAGTTATATTTCAAAAGATTACATATCTATATCTGGTTCTATCTTCAGTTTCTCCTTTTTAATTATTGGTTAATTTTTATTTTTAAAAACTTCTTTATTAGAATTAGGAGCTAAAATAACTTTTAAAATGATAAATTGGTCATAAATCAATCTCCAAAGACTTTGGTGAAATTGAACAAATAATTGGAAAAACATAGTTTATTTTATGAAATAAAGAAAATATCTAACACACAATACTGATAAGATATATATGTACAAAATTCTGAGATGTCAGAATTCAGGTCTGTGGAATGTATTGTCTAATGTCTTTCCAGTCTTCCTGGAGAGCCAGATTAAGAAAAAACTTACTTTTCAATTTTCCCATGATGACAAAATCATCAGTGTTTGTCAGGAGAAGTTGAAAAACAATTTGGTAAGAGCGATTTCCAAGATTTGCTGGTCTTGTTTTGTTGTTCTGCTCAGGGTTAGGCGTTCTTTTGATTATTTATTTATTTATTTATTTATTACTTTTTAGTTTTTAGTTTTTATTTATTTTTTTTTGGTAGGTGGGCAATGTGAATGATTTGAATGTACTTGAGTCAAACAGAATGATGGTAAGGCAAGAGAAACAAGATGGTGTATGTGAGTGCTTGGATTGTAAGATGTCTCACATTGCCCTAAGCTCATGGCTTCTGAGCCAAGACAAGGGTGCAGGCTCCTTCTCTGTATTTTCATTGATATAAAATATGTTACCACTATTGCTAGAAAACTTATGTATTGTTGAAACAAGCTATGAGTTTTAAGATACAAATATTACACATGTGCACACGTGTTCATGTGCACACACACAAACAATTAAATTTAATTTGTAGTAGAAACTCTTCAATTTTGTGCTGGTTACATGAAATTCTACTAAAAGTCAAATTCTGCCAGCATAGTATAGAAGCCTGATGAATGTCTAGTATGCATGCATTCCCCACAAAGCTCAGAAACACCAAAGAAAATAAAAGAAGGTTAGGTTGCAATGTTACAAACATTGGTTATTCTATTTTCTTAAGTAATTTTATAAAGTACCTTTAAATTGTTTAAATGTTCCATGTTTTGCTTATAATTAATTATAAAGATTTTAAATATATACATAAACAATAAAAACACAGCACAATTCCATTATTGTTCAATTAGTTCACAATTTTGAAAAAGGACAAAGTATGTCTGATATAATTGTACTTCAAACTGAGGCAGAATAGCTGCTATATAAAATAAAATATGTCATTATATTTAACTTGCATGTTGGGTGCACTCTGGGTCAGGCATTTTTCCACAGGTTTCACATAAACTAGTTAGTTTAATTCTCACAGTGGTCTTCAAGTGGAACAGTAGTGATGCTTCCCATGAAGTCAAGAAGCTCAGCATCATAGAAGAGGTGGAAAACAGTGGGTAACTGCAGCATGAATTTTAAGTTATTACATGACTCTAGACATTCTTCTCTTTAACCAGGAAGCCAAAATCACTACCAAATCTAGCTACCATGAAAGGTGGAAGAAGAATCCACACCTGGCTCCTCTTCACACATTTCCAAGCATGAATACAGGCAAGCTGCATTTCAAATCCTAAGTGTGTGAATAATCATATCAATTTTCCTCTTCATTTCTTATGTGAATAAACAATCTCAAAGTGCAGTCCTTGCCATTTCTATTCTCTCCCTATGTATCAAAATATTCAAATTTGCTTCTTCAAAACCACAAATGAGTTTCTCGTGAAAGATATGAGCTGAGGAAAATGTGAATAACTCAGTTGCACCTTCAACACCTTTGAATTTAATTCTTCTAACATGTTTTCACTTTCAAAACTTGACAAGCAAAGTTTCAGGCACTTCCCTTCTATCTTCTCTTCTCCCTGGCATTGCTATATAGAATATATTTAATGGCTACTTTTGTATGCTGTGTCTTGCCCGTTAGCTCAATTTTGATGAAAGCTGTTGTTTTCTAATTCCATTTCACTGGAAATGACAGAGACAAATGGTCAAATTACCTGGAGAGTTCCTTTGGCAGAATAGGCTGCATATGAGTAGAACAGATCTTGGCTGTGGCCTCTTCTGGCTTCTTCCCTGCAAGGTTGGCCATCAGGATAAAAGCATTGGCCAGTGCTGCTCACAGTGATGGTGCCTGGAGAGGGCCCGGGAAAATCCAGCAACACTGAATAGTTTATAAACTGTATATCTTCCAAGCCCAATTCAATCCAGTGACTCTTAATCTTCTTTGAAATTTCCATGTCATCCTCACTGGCATAGAGTTGAAGCAAATTTCTGAAAAATGTAAAAGCATATTTTAAAAACATAGAGAAAGTCTTTATAATTTGGAGTTATGACTGTTCATATGTGAGTTTTATTAATAGCTTTTGCTAGATATTGAAGGATAAATGTGACAAGATCTGACCTTAAGAGATTTAAGGAGTGACAGATCTGAGGTGCAGCAAGGGGGATCATACTAAATCATTGCAGTATGAATTTATGTTTTCAAGTAGTCTCACAAAGACTGAGCAATGACAACCAGAGCTTTTATGACTTCTGAGTGTTATATCAACATTAACAAAATCCATATACAATCACTTCCAAAAAACTATCATGTTTATTGAGATAGGTTGTCTATTCACAGAAAAGAAATGAGAATTTAAAGAAAGCAATTTCATTTATTTCTTTCTTTTTGGGAATGAACTGAAAATGTATACCTCTTATGATTTTATCTTTTCCTAAGTAATTAACATTTTTCTTGTATATGAAATTGCCTTTCTCCATATACATATTTATATGAACTTGTTTATTAAACAACTTCAGAAATGATCAAGAAGCCTACACTAGAAACTGCAGGTCTCTTAGCATAGCTTGAAAGCTGGCCAGTGCAAGAAGACAGAGCAAGAAACCATTATGAAGCTCTTTCTCATGTATTCACCTTTATGTGTGAGTGGTGTGTATATGTGTGGATGCATCTGTGTACGACTGGGTAAGGGTATGTATAGATGTGCGTGTGTGTGCACATGCTTGCTTGCATGTGTGGAGGCCAGACAAGGCTCTGAGATGTCTGACTTAGTTAATGTCTGTTCCATTCATTGAGAGTGTTCTGACATTTATCAGGCTCTCTTGCTGAACTGTTAGCTCTTTGATTAGGGCTAATGTCACTAGCCAGCCTCCTCCCAGACATTATCTGTCTCAGGCTTCTGAGTGCTGGAACTGTGTGAGCCATCAGAATAATTGCAACTGTCTCCTGGACCCAGCTCCACTGTGGTGGGTTTTTTATTTTTTTCATTATTACTTCATAACATCTCACAGCATAGCATACAGTGTGACCTGCTTCTTCCTCTACAAAGACATCTTGATCCTATACTTTCCTTCTTCCTAATGAATATTGAAGTTTTGGTCTAAGATGCCTCTGATAGGCTCATATTTTTGAGTACTTGTTTCTTAGAGGTATAGGAGACTAAGAAACTTCAGGAGCTTGGATGACCTAGGCTTCTTATGGTAGTCCTTGAGACAACATGTCACATTGTTAACAGAATAGCTTTCTGCTTCTCTATTGACCAAGAGATATGAAAATTACACTTCAAACTCCCCACCATGGAATGAGCCTCTCATGTCCGCATGCCTTCCTAACATGACAAACTAGGTCCTTTGAAACTGTGAACCAAGGTTATATCTACTTTGAATTGTTACTGTCACATATTGAATCACAGGGAGACAAAATAAATAGATAATGCATAGCTTTTGAAATAAGCCTTTAATTCCAATGCCTAGGTTGCGGAGGGCATTCCATGAAAACTAAAGGTTAGATTGCAGGTAAAAACTACTCATTAATGCACTTAATGGCAATCCCCAAAAAAAGAGCAGAGGGAGGATTAGTTTTCAAAGTGTATAAGACAGAGCTAGAAGAAAGCTTCTGTGAGGAAACTGGTCTATCCCAAAGATTGTAGACACCTGAATCTTAGACTTCTCAGCTCTAAAATTCTGAAAATAAACATCTGTTGTTTGTAAGTTGCCCAATTTAAAGGATTTTGCTATAGCCATTTGAGTGGAATATGACAATTAACAAATTACTGATTACTAAAAAGGTGCATAAAATTAAACTACTTGTCTTAAACCTGCTCCCACCGGTTAATGCTAATCAAGTTTTCTACCACCCAATTCCTCTAAGAGCTCAATAACTATGACATAGTCCTTGGTTTTGGCTTAATGCTGAAAATTATGTCATGAGCAACTGGATATTGTATCTTCCCACCTCTTACCATTATAAGTTTTTAATTTAGTTTTTAATTATTGTTTAGAGGTAACCTTCAGAAAATAATTGATGAAATAGTAAAAACCAATGCTAGTTGTTATTCTGAATGGGTCAAAAAGTTCTTCCTGTTGCCCTGTTGTTGAGAGATGTTCTTTGAAAGAGTATTGAACTTTATCACACACTCTGATATGTTCATCAAAACAATCATATGATCTATTAAAAATGAACATACACTAAAATAATTTTTCTCATAAAACAAAACTGTACTATTAACAGGATATATTAAAATTTGTAGATATTTTGTAATCTATTTTGTAATCCTCTTGTTTCTGGTTTTAACATCTAATTAAAAAAGCAATGCAATATTAGTAGGTTAGTGTTCCTCTCAGGAATAATTTTTGTTTAATTTTTTCAAGATATTATACAAACCTCATATATAGAAAGTATTTTTCTTTTGATTTCTTCTCTGAGAGAGATCAAATAAGATTAGAATATTTGAAGAATATTAGCTTTAAACTAAAAATGGTATGTAATTGATGTCTTATTATGGAAGAACTATGACCTGATTGATCAATACCAGTAATACTATGTGCTTTTTCTTTTTTGGTTCCTCTTTGAACCACAGGCCTTTTATCACTCTGTCCCACTTGCTATCAATCCTCAGAGCTACAGGCTGCAGCTTATCACTTGCACAGCACCCTTTCCTACAATGGCTTCCTGCCCTTCTTCCCTTTACAGATCTGTCAGTTCAACATAACAGTCTTTTAGAAGAAACTCATTGTAACATGTATTCACATGAGTAAATATGCATATGAACTATATTTGTATTTTTTGAATGTCAGCTTCAAAATACCATCCCATGTGGGCCAATGAGGTCTCTCACCTTGGCACTACACCTAATAAATTGAGTTGGAACCCCAGGACCCATGTGGTAGAAAATAAGAACATAATCTTATAAGTCGATATCTAACCTCTATTCATGCACCATGGCCATGATACACATACACACATACACACAGACAAAGGAACATCATTTCTTCACAAATAATGTATAAAATTCCAAGGAGCCAAGTTCTTCATTTTGATTTTCTTGTTGGTCCCTGAGATTCCACTTTATGCCCACCAGAATGGCTAAGATCAAAAACTTAGGTGACAGTGCATGCTGGCAAGAAAGAGGAATACTCCACCATTGTTGATGAGATTGCAAACTGGCACAGCCACTCTGGAAATAACCCCCCACTCTGGGGTTTCCTTGGAAAATTAGAATTAGTTCTATGTGAGACCCAGCTATATCATTTCTGGACATATACCCAAAAGATGCCCCACTATACCACAGGGATACGTACTCCTCTTTGTTCATAGAAGCCTTATTTGTAATACCCAGAAGCTGGAAACTGCCTAGATTTCCCTTAACTGAAAAATGTATACAGAAAATGTAGTTCATATACAAAATGGAATACTATTCAGCTATTAAAAATGAAGACATCATGAATTTTTCAGATAAATGAATGGAACTCGAAAATATCATCCAGAGTGAGGTAACCCAGACCCAAAAGGACATGCATGATATGTACTCACTGATAAGTGGATATTAGCCAAAAAGCACAGAATATTTAGGGAACAACCCACAGATCATAAGAAGTCTAACAAGCAGGAAAGCCCAAGTACGGATGCTTCAATCCCACTTAGAAAGAGGAACAAAATAGTCATTGGAAGCAGAGGGGAGAGGGACCTGGGTGAGAGAGGGGAGTAAGAGATGGAAAGGGTAACAGTAGCAGGTATAAGATAAGGGAGAAGAGAGAAGGCAAGGAGAATGATTGTAAATATGCAGCCTGGGTAGGAGGTGGGAGCACCCTGTAGAGAGTACTAGTGGCCTAGGAAGTGAGAGACTGTCAGGACTCAATGGGGAAGACTTTAGCTAAAATGCCCAACAATGAGGAGAGGGAACTTGACTAATTCACTTCCAGTAGATAGACAGGGTTTCAAGCTGAGGAATGGGGTTACCAACCTATGGTCAAAATTTCTGACCCAGAATTGTTCTTGTCTAAAGAACCTACAGGGACAAAAATGGGAAAGGGACTGAAGGAAAGGCAGCCCATTGACTGTCCAAACTTAGGATCCATCCCATGGATGGTGGGGACACCAGGCCTGACACTATTACTGATGCTATGATTTTTTTACAGACATGAACCTGGCAACATTGTCCTTTGAGAGGCCCACCCAGTAGCTGAGACAGAAGGAGATACTTACATCCAACCATTGGACTGAAGTTGGGGATCATTATGGTTGAATTAGGGGAAGGATTAAAGAAGCAGAAGGGGAATCAGATCCTATAGGAAGACCAGCAGTCTCAACTAACCCAGACCTCAGGGAGCACCCAGAGACTGAGCCACCAAATAGGCAGCATACACAGGCTGGTGATGTTCCTGGCACGTATACCACTCAGGACTGCCTAATCTAGCCTCAGTGGGAGAAGATGTGCCTAATCCTTGAGAGATTTGAGGTACCAGGGAAGGAGAATGCTTGAGGAGGGAGCACCCTCTAAAAGTCAAGGGGGAGGAGGAATGGGATGAGGAACTGTGGGATGGGGAACTCAGGGGTGGATACAAGGGCTGGAATGCAAATAAATAAAATAATTTAAAAAAGTAAAAGTTGTTCTTTCATTTGTATTTTAAATTCCCTCCAACTTTTGTTTACCTTTATTTTTCTAAGGTTCATGTTGGAAGAGTATAGTATTTTTAGCCATAGGGTCTTACTTCAAGTTCTGGAGGTAATTTAGAGAAATGGCAATAGCCTATGTTGTTTAGGAGACTTTCTTAGGCTCCCCTGAACAACAACATGAAATGGGGCTTCTCATGTTTGGTACTGTCGTATTGTTATGTTATCTGTGGCTGTTGAGAACTGTTTACAGCTCATATTCATAACATCATTTAAATTATTTACATATGTAATATACATGTATTTATATGTATATTTTTAAATGTATGTTTTCTCAAAACTTTTTCCACCATCCTTGGTGATCTTTTTTACTCCACCC